ATGGACCCGAGCAGAAATTGGGTGCAGGTTGGGGAGGTGGTGGCTGGTCTGTCAGACCAGCATGGTACAGACCCCAGTTGTGCTGGGCGCGGCACGGACACCTAGTGAGGTCTGGTCCCCACCCAGGTTTTGCACCTGCTCCCCCCGTTTCAATTAGGGGGGTGATGTTTGGTGTTTTAATAGAAATAGTTAAAGTGGCCAGTTACACCCGGACCTTTTATGTAGCTTCTACTGGGAGAATGACCCTCGTGGGAGGCTGCATTTGTATCGCTTTCACTACAGGGCAATGGACACAACTTCTGTGTGTGGCCACCGCCTGGGAGACAGCCTCTGCCCAGCCAGTCTGAGATGAGAGGGAGGGTCCTTCTCCCCAGGTCATAGAGGAGAGGCAAAGTGGGTCACCCTAGGTCACCCAGGAGAGCCTGTGACAGAGTTGGGACTCAAACCCAGAGCCCCATCCCAGTGCCCACACCCCTAACCGGCTTCCCTCCTTCAGCCTGGCCTTTAGGTGTTGCTCCCTGCTGCCAATTCTGCCCTCCTGGGTGCAGCTGGGAGTGCAATGGGGCCCTGCCTGAACCAACACCACCTGGCCCTGGGGGCCCAGCTGTAAATTGTCAATGATTAACTTCTGTAGATGGAAGCCAAATGCATCCGCTTTTAAAGTCAGATTAGCACCATGTTTGTGTAACACCTGGGCAGCCGAGGCTGCTGCTGGCTGCGGTGGGAGGCGTGGGAGGGGACAGTTAATCAGTTGCCAATCCAGTTGGTTGGCATCATGGTGGGAGTGGGAGGATGGGGATTGTGCAAAGAAAGGGGAAGACTGGGATAGCAGGCGGCTGTGGTTGGGATTGAGGGACTCCAGAAGAGCTGGGGGGGGGGGGAGCCTGGGGGCTGGGATAGCAGGGGGCTGCAGGTCAGGATTGAGGGGTGTGGGCAGAGCAGGGAGCAGACGGGGGAAATGAAATAGGCACTGGGAGTCTTTGGCAGCATTCAAGGAAGAGAACTAGCGATTTCTCCAGGGCTGATGCTGGGGGTGGCCATCATCTGGTACCGGTGCCAGCACTTTTCAGAGCGAACATGAGCTTTTCCCAGGCCGGGGCCCTGGGCCGTGGCAGGGATGGGTGTAAAATCTTTCCAGCCACTGGGATCAGGCTTTGCTTTCCTTCCCCTTCGTGGGGATAAGGAATCTTAACACAGCCGGATGCACTGTTCCGGGACCCCGGACACCTGGGTTCTGTTCTTAACCCAGCCGGATGCACTGTTCCGGGACCCCGGACACCTGGGTTCTGCTCAAGAGCTGGTTGGGAATTTTTCAGTTTTTCAATATAATTTTTTTCCTGCCAAAAATTGCAGACTCATGGAAGCTGTCCGTGCAGTAGGGTGGGTTCTGACGACTCTCCCGACTCGACAAATGTTTGGAAGGAGAACTGAAATTGTCCAAACGGCAGCATTCAGTTTCTTCCGCTTCAAAGTGACTTTTCATTTTGAAATTTCAGCTCATTGGACCAAAACCAGTTAAAGGAAAAAAACTAAGAGAAAAAAGGTCAAAATTGAAACACGACATTTCGATGGACCCAAACTGACAGTTTTTCACTTTGCAAAAAAAAAAAGTGAGATTTTGACTTTTTGTCCTGATTCAAGGTGTGTGTGGGGGGGAGGGAATGTTGAACTACTGAAAATTTTCTTCGGCTAGGAAAACTGTTTCCTTCCCAACTCTCTTCTATTTCCACTGGGGGCCCTGATCTTTGTCAGGGTCTGTGCAGAACTCTGATTTTGGGCCCGGTTGTGTGGGGCGCTGCACAGACCCCAGCCGAGATCAGGCCCCCATTGTGCTGGTTGCCTCACAGACACTGAGTGAGAGGCAGTCCCTGCCCTGAGGAGCTGACAATCTAAAAAGGGTATCAGGGGAAACTGAGGCACAAGGAGGCGATGCGACTTTCCCAGGGTAACGCGCAGGCCAGTGGCAGAGCTGGCAGTAGCCCCCATGTCTCCTGAGTCCCAGCCCAATGCCGTGCCCGCTGGGCCGTGCAATCTCCCGCACAGTCTCCCGCACACACGCAGTTGTTATTTCTCCATTAAGCTCTTTCCTCTCCATCTCGCCATCGCACCCCCCTCTTTCCATTCCCTCTCAATTCTCAGTAACTGGCGCTGTTCAGGCCCCCTCCCAGTGCCCGCCGGGTCCAGCCTCTGAGCCCCACGGAGCTGCCCATTCACACTGGGCAACGAGGAGCTCCTTGGGGAGGAGCATTGGACTAGGATGTTGCAGTAAAGGGGGCCGGCTGGGAGGGGGGGATCAGATGGGAGGTGGGTGGGAGAGGGGGGCCAGAATTCAGCTGGGGTGGTTTGGGATCAGCTGGGGGAGGGCAGGCGGGGTGGGAGGTTGAGGATTGACAGGGGGGTGCAGACTGGGGAGAGGGGTGGGGATCAGCTGGGGGTGCAGATGGGAGAGAGGGGCTGGGGATCAGTTGGGGGGCACATGGGAAAGTGGGGATATCACAGAGGGATGGGGATTGGCTGGGGGGGAAGGGAAGGGGGAATGGTCTCAGGCTGTGAGTAGGCCGCTTGAGGTGGGATGATGTCCTGACATGCCCAAAGCTACAAAATCATCAGCCTCCTCCCTCCACTCGGGGTGGCATGGTGGGGGGCACAGTGGGACGATGGAGGGCGTCAGCCCTTGTGCACACGGGGGGGGGGATGTGGGGGAGGGGCATGTGCAAGATGGGGCAAATGGCATCGGGGCCAAGGAGTGTAGGACAGGCTGAGGTTGTGTGGCGTGGGCAGCGAGTGCAACTGAGGCAGGGACCCTGGGGATACATGCAGTGTGCGAACGATGGGGAAGTGCAGTGCAGAGGTCTGCATAGTGCCCTTGCAACAGGGGCCCAGGAGACAGCCTGTGCTTTGGTGGGGCTGCGGTGCCCCTGCAATTGGTACGTGCTAGACAGAAATGTCAGCAGAGCATGCAGTGTCTGTGCGATGGGGGTGTGCAGTGCCCGTGCGATGGGGGTGTGCAGTGTCCATGCAATGGGTGTACCTGAGACAGGCTGTATATTGGTGGGGTCTGCAGTGCCTGTGCAGTTGGTACACATCAGATATGAATATCAGCAGAGCGTGCAGTGTGTGTGCAAGGGGCAAATGGGAGATGAGAAGCATTTGTAGTTGTTTGCAACATGCGTGCGACAGGTGCATGCAGTTTGCATGTGACGGGTGCACCTGAGATGTGCAGTGCGTATGCAGAGGGGATGTGCAGTGTTTGCACAAAGGGTACATGTGACACATGAGGCACCTTTGCACTGTGTGCACTGTGCCTGCAATGCGGGTGGTGGATGGATGTGAGACAGGAGGAATGTTTGCAGTGTGTGCAGTGCCCATGCTGTGGGGACATGCACTGTGTGTGCAATGTGGGAGGAGCCTTTGCAGTGTTCATCGTGTGTGTGCAATGGATGGACAGCTGTAAAACAGAAAGATCCTTTTCCAGGGTGTGCAGTGACCGGGCAATGGGTGCACACGAGACAGGCTGTACGTTAATGGGGCATGCAGGACACATACAGTGGGGGCATGCAAGGCGCATGCAGTGGATGGGTGCCTGTGAAACAGAAGGATATTTTAGCAGGGCACGCAGTGAACGTGCAACGGGTGCACGAGACAGGCTGTACATTGGTAGAGCGTGCAGTGTCCGTGCAGCAGGGTGTACGGTGATCGTGCTATGAGGCATGCAATACCTGTGCAATAGGTGCACACGGGAGACACATTGTACTTGGCAAGGTCTGCCTTGCCCAAGCGATGGAGGTGTGCAGTGCCCATGCGATGGATGGCGTGCAGTGCTCGTGCAATGGGTGCACGTGAGATGGGCTGTGCATTGGTAGGGCCTGCAGTGCCTGTGCGATGGTTGGCATGTAGCACCTGTGCGTTGGTAGGGCCTGCAACGCACATGCAATGGATGGCATGTCACACCCATCTGATGGATGGCGTGCAGCGCCTATGTGATGCATGCACATGAGATAGGCCGTGCGATGAGTGCTTATGAGACAGACTGTACATGCAGTGCCTGTGGAATAGGTGCACATGGGAGACACGTTGTACTTGGCAAGGTCTGCCTTGCCCAAGCAATGGGGGTGTGCAGTGCCCATGCGACGGATGGCATGCAGCACCCATGCAATGGGTTCTCGTGAGCCAGGCCATGCGACGGATGGCACGCAGTGCCCATGTGACAGATGGTGTGCAGCGCCCATGTGATGGGTTCTCGTGAGCCAGGCCATGCGATGGATGGCACGCAGTGCCCGGGTGACAGATGGTGTGCAGCGCCCATGTGATGGGTGCTCGTGAGACAGGCTGTGCGATGGATGGGTGTGCAGTGCCTGTGTGACGGATGGTGTGCAACGCCTGTGCAATCGGTGCTCAGGAGACAGGCCATGCGACGGATGGCATGCAGTACCCGTGTGACAGATGGCATGCAATGCCTGTGTGACGGATGATGTGCAGTGTCCGTGCGATGGGTGCTCGTGAGACAGGCTGTGCGACGGATGGCATGCAGTGCCCGTGCGATGGATGGTGTGCAGTGACAGGCTGTGTGAAGGATGGTGTGCAGTGCCTGTGTGATGAATGGTGTGCAGCGCCCGTGCGATGGATGGTGTGCAGCGCCCATGCGATGGGTGCTCAGGAGACAGGCTGTGCGACGGATGGCGTGCAGTGTCCGTGCGATGGATGGTGTGCAGCGCCCGTGCGATGGGTGCTCAGGAGACAGGCTGTGTGACAGATGGCATGCAGTGCCCGTGCGATGGATGGTGTGCAGTGCCTGTGTGATGGATGGTGTGCAGTGACCGTGCAATGGGTGCTCAGGAGACAGGCTGTGCGACGGATGGCATGCAGTGCCCGCGATGGATGGTGTGCAGCACCCGTGCGATGGAGTGCTCGTGAGACAGGCCGTGCGACGGATAGCATGGACACACAGACTGCGTGTGGGGAGCCGAGCCTCTAACTGAGCCTCCTTGTGCCCCCCGCAGTTACATGCTTCGGGTGCGAGCTGTGGTGATGACCCGAGACGACTCGAGCGGGGGATGGGTGCCCATGGGCGGGGGCGGCCTGAGCCACGTCATGATCGGCAAAGTCCGGCGCCCAGAGGAGGGCGGGCGGCGGCGCCAATACCTGATCTGCGGGGAGCGCCTGCGCGACCAGACCGTAAGCCTGACTCCTGGGGAGAGGTTGGATGGGGGGGCAGCTTGTGGGGGGGCCCCCGCCCGCCCCTAATCTCCCCCTCTCCATTGCAGACCATCCTGGAGTGCGTGCTGAAGAAGGACCTCGTCTACAACAAGGTGAACCCCATCTTCCACCACTGGAAAGTCGGCGACAGCAAGTTCGGCCTGACCTTCCAGAGCCCCGCTGATGCCGCAGCCTTCGAGCGGAGTGTGCAGGCCGCCCTGGAGGAGCTCGCCGAAGGTGGGGCCCCAGCGCCCCGGGACTGCAGAGATTCAGGGGGGTGCCCCCAGGGGGGTGGGGCCCAGGGATTGTGAGAGATGCAGGGGGTGTGAGGCCGGCCGGCTGCTCCATGGATGTTGCTGGCTGGGGTCCTGAGCCTGTCTGGTTCCCCCTTGGGGGTTCTGGTCTGGGGGGGTTTAGGGAGGGACTGATGGGAGATGTGGGCGCTTGTTGGTGGCATGGGTCTGCCTGTTGCCCCCCCCTTAGCAGCACTTGGTTGGGGGGCGGCGCAGGCAGCTCCCGCCCCCAGGGGCATTGGTCAGAACCAAGGGAACCCTGTTGCTGGAAACGACCTGAGTTCACCTTAGCATGGCCCTGTGGCTAAGACAGCTGGCTGCAGGGAAGCAGACGTGGGGTCGGTTCCCAGCTCAGACACCGACTCTACCTGCGTGACCTCAGGCGTGTCTCTCTCGGCCTTGGTTTCCCCCATCTGTGCCATGGAGATATGAACCCTGTGCGGCCGGCCAGAGGGGGTGGGGGTGGGGGTGGGGAGGCTGTTGCTGTTCGGGAGGCTCCCATATCCCAGTGCCGTCGCTGCCCCTCGGATGGCATTCCATGTCAGAGCGGCCAGGAGAGAGAGGGAGGGAGCCAAATCTGGAGCTCTGGGAGTCCCTGGATTCCTAGCGGGAGGTCCCAGCACTGCAGGGGAACACTGTCTTCCCAACCCTCCCCGCCTAGCAGGGCCGGCACCAGGCACCAGCTTAACAAGCAGGTGCTTGGGGCGGCCAAGGGAGAGGGGCGGCATGTCCGGCAATTCGGGGGCAGAAGGTCCCTCACTCCCTCTAGGAGCGAAGGACCTGCCGCTGAACTGCCGCCGCCGATCGCGGTTTTTTTTTTTTTGCTTGGGGCGGTAGAAATGCTGGAGCCGGCCCTGCCGCCTAGGCACTGCTGCCATGGCCTCGCCATGGGAGCCCCCCTCCCTCTATCCCACCCCGCCGTCCCCTGGTCCCCCTCTGTCAGGTCAATTCCCTAGAGAGCTCCCAGCGATCTAAAGGCCTGGGCACTGCACCGGAGCCTGGCTCCTTATCCCCCCTCCTTCCGTGGTCTGGGGTTATTCTTAACTCCTCCCTCTCCTTTGCCCCCATCACTGATTCCTGCCTATCTTCCCCCCCCCGCGCGCCCGATCCAGTCTTTGCTCCCCATCCTCTCTCCTGGCTGGGGGCTGCTTCGTTCTCCTCTCTGGCACGCTGCCCCCCTCCGAGCCGTGCTGCCGGGCCTGGGAGTGTCCTTTTCCCCCGCCCGCTCCGGCGTGTCCCCCCCTCCCCATCCGCTTGCACGTCAGATTTTAAATCTCCCGGTGCTGCATCACTCCACCCGTCTCTGCCAGTCCTCCCTTCACGTCGCCCCTCGGCGGTGCCAGCATTCACACTCAGCCCCCTCCCCGCCGGCCCCCTACACATAGTACGGCCTCCCCTCACTCCTCTGCAAAACACGCCTGCCCCTAAACCCCGTCTGGTTTCTGCAGCCCGGAACACGGTGAGCACTGCTACAGGGCTTACCGGCTATTTAAAGGGACACTACCCTGCACTGGCCCGCTGCTGATATGCCACCTCAAGCAAACTGATCCACGTAGAAGACCCCCTTTGCATTTCCCCCCTCCCGCTTGCCTGCCCCTGGGATGGAACCATCCCTTCTGCTCTGTCTGGAGAGCGCCTGGCACACCCCACCCCCCCCGTGGGGATCAAACCCAGGAACTCTGGAGCTAAAAGCACAAGGGTCAGCTGCCTGAGTGAATGATCCCAGGCCTACCTTAGTGCTACAATTCAGAAACCGCTGTACGTGCCGCAGCCACTGGAGGAAGATAGATAGCGCCCGTATATGTTTGTGTGTCACCCCCACACAGGGGTCCGGGGCTCGGCCCCAGACATCCCCTTTTCTTTTGAGGCGTCGCTCCAGCTGCAAAGCTTTGGTGCCCTCAGGTCCCCGCGGGGTGGGTGGGGATGGAGCACCAGGCACTGGGCCTGCTTGAGGCAACGGGGGTGCCCTTATGTCCCTCCCCCCTGGGATCCCAGCCCCGGGGTCCCACCTGGACAGACCCCAACCCAGGTCCTTTGCGTTCCCAGCACTGAATGCTTTTTCCCAGCTCTGCCCCCAGTAACCGGACGCCTTACTGGGCCCGCGTCCTTCCTGGGGGGACTGACTTTCATGTACCTTCCTCTGTTTTCCCTTCCCAGGTTCTCTCTCCTCCTCCTCCTCCTCCTCCTCGTCTCAGGATGACGCCGACGGGACGGATGACGCAGGGTTGGTAAGTTGAGCACTGGGCAGAAGTACCTTCTGGGGGAGAACCTCCTGGATGCTGAAGGGTTCCTTGGTCCGGCGGAGAGAGGCAGAACCAACGGCTGGAAGTGAAAGCCAGGCCCATTCCAGGGGGTAACTGGGCGCAGTGCAGGTCAGACTAGATGATCTAATGATCTCTTATTATAATCAGCTAAACACGAGCTTCTGGTGCGACGTTGCAGCCAAAAAAGTGAACGCCATCCTGGGATGCATCAACGGGAATCTCCGATAGGAGCAGAGAGGTTCTTTCCCCTCTGTATTTGGCACTAGCGCAACCACTGCTGGGATCCTGCCTCCAGTTTTGGTGCCCACAACACAAGAAGGATGTTGATAAATGGGAGAGGGATCAGAGAAGAGCCAGGAGTGAGATCAAAGGATTAGAAAACCTGCCTGATATTGATAGACTCCAGGAGTTCAATCTGATTAATTTATCAAAGAGAAGGTGACGTCTATAAATACCTGCATGGGAACAAATATTTAATAATCGGCTCTTCAGTCTAGCAGAGGAAGGTCGAACACAGCCCAGTGATTGGAAGCTGATGTTAGACAAAGTCAGACCGGAAATAAGGTGTAAATTTATAAGGATGAGAGGAATTAATCACCGGAACAATTTCCCAAGGGGTTGTGGTGGATTCTCCATCACTGACCAATTTTAAATCAAGCTGGGATGTGTTTCTAAAAAATCTGCTCCGGGAATTATTTTGGGGCCGTTCTCTGGGTTGTGCTATCCAGCAGCTCAAACCAGATGATCTAGATAAACGTCTGGCCTTGAAATCTACACATTCTTTCTAGCAGCTGAAAGCCCTCGCTGTCAAAGTGACGGAGAACTTCAAAGTGAGATGGTCACAGACCCCGTGTCCCACGGATGATTGGACCTGGTGATCTTCTGAACAAAAAGCGCTCTCAGCCGGGCTTGAAGCTGTTCCCATCACTTCACACTGACTCAACAGACACTTTAGTCTCGCGTGACGATCCTGTAATAAACATGATTAATAATCTATAGAATAAGATTCCAATAGGGTTTTAGGGCCAGGCAGAAAAGCAGCCCATTCGGTAGGTGCTGTACAAACACACAGAGCCCACAATCTAAATAAGTGAGACAGGCCTTAAAATCTGTGAAAGTCCTTCATGGTGCCATTCCGCTCCGGGAAACTTCCAGTCTGATTCCATGTTCTCCCCTGCCCAGGGTGGGGTGTGAGTACCAGCTGGGAGCAGATGTTGTGAATTTCCACTGTCCCCATTCCCACAAGGAGGTGGGGGGGGGGAGTCCCAGAGAGAGCAGGGGACATAGGGACCCAAGCCGGGGGACAACTGGCCCAAGAGGGAGATGTTGCCTGATAAAGGTCTGGACTAGTGCTAGGAAAAACAGACCCCTTCCCAGCTTGACCAGTGGTCTCCCTACACGGGGATCATGGCAGGCCGCGCATGCCAAGCAGCACGTGGCATGGTCAGTGTTTAGAAAGGAGACCGCTGAGGAACAGCTGGGTGCTGTAGGCAGCAGAGTGGGGGCGCTCTCCCCTACCGGTCAGTGCTGGCCCCGATGCGGTGCTAGGGGGCACTGGGCTGCAGGGTGGGGGCTCAGTACGGGGCGCTCTCCCCGCAGGGTCAGCGCTGACCCCTGTGCAGCACTAGGGGGCGCTGCGCCATGGGGCGCTTCTTTCTCAATGACAGCCGCCGCCTTTGTCCCCAGATGCACACGGACAGCGAATCCTCCTCGAACAGCCGGAAGGAAATGCTCCCCAAACACATCACCATTGTGACTAGCGAGTCCTCCTCCAGCTGCTACATCCGCTCGCCCGCCTCCGAGGAGTTTGCCTTCAGCACGGCCCAGGGGTCGACGCCAACCAGCCAGGGAGGGCAGGTGGGTCTGGGCGGGGAGGGGCAGGGGTCCGTGGCCCTGGGCGCGATGGGGACGGGCGCTGCGTAGCCCGAGGAAAGAGATGGGAGAGAGAAACTCTTCCACGGGCTGGTGGCGGCTTCTCAAGTTAAAGCTGTCCTGCACGGGGGTGGGGTGGGGCGGAACTGGGCTTGTACCTTTAGAAATCCCAGGCACATCAGCTCCACTCCCTACGCTTGCTGGTGACTTTTTGGAGAACTTGAGAACATGTGTTGTGAGCTTTCCCAGCCCTGCATAGAATCTGCGGGGGGGAGTGATCTTTAACAGAGAGCACTTTTTTCCCACCTGTTTGTAGAGTGTCTGAGTTAAACAGGGGTTAATAAAATCTCTGGTATCTGGGGGTCTTTGTTGTGCACAGGGAGGATGGGCTTGGGGTTAGCGTGCTGAGCTGGGGCTCTGCCGCAGAATCACCTATGTGAGATGGGCTGTGTCATCACTCCATGCCTCAGTTTCCCCAGGGTGACATGGGAGTAATAATCCTTTCTCTCGCCAACCCTTTGTCTATTAAGACTGGGAGTTCTTCAGGGTAGAGGTAGTCTCTCACTCTGCGTGTCTGCGGTGCCTGGGACAATGGGGCCCTGATCTCAGTCGGGGTCTGTGCAGCACCCAGCGCAATGGGGCCCTGATCTCGGTCGGGGTCTGGGCAGCGCCTGGCACAATGGGGCCCTGATCTCGGTCGGGGTCTGGGCAGCGCCCGGCACAATGGGGCCCTGATCTCGGTCGGGGTCTGGGCAGCGCCCGGCACAATGGGGCCCTGATCGCCATCTGCTGCTCTAGGCTTTGAGATTTGGTCTGCACCCTCTGCATGGTGCAGGGATCTGTTCCCTATGGATAGGGGCCCCCAAGTTCCAGGGCACAGGGAGGGGATGTGATGGACAGCTGGGCTGTTGGCAACACCCTTGGCTTGGTGGACTGGGGCTGCAGCAGAGGGCTCCTGCCCAGGGGCCTGAGGACATGGTTCCTTGTCTTCTGCCAGCTCTCAGATTATGGGAGTGGGATCTTTGGGTTACAGCATCTGGCCTCCTAGGTTCTGTTCCCAGCACTAGAAGGGCAGTGGGGTCTGGTGGCTAGAGCAGGTCAGGGAGGCTGGGTGCCAGGACTCCTGGGTTCTGTTTCCAAGAGCCCTGTACTGCTGGCTCCAGAGTTGGTCCTTCGGTTCCCGGCCTCAGTGACGTCCTGCTGTGGCGAGTCCCACAGGTTAACGAGGCTGAGGCGGGAGAACGGTGCAGGCTGTACCTCTGTCCTCTGTCTCCCCCTGCCCCAGGTGCAGACCCAGCCCCTGCAGCACGTGACCCTGCACGATGAGGAGGAGCTGGAGAGCATCAACCCGTGCAAGGACCTGTGGGTGAGCAAAGGATATGAGGACTACAGGCGGGCGGCGGTGCACAAGCGGGAAGCCGACCCCGACAAGGTCGGCATGTGCGTGCACTTCGAGAAGGGCAGCAAGGAGCGCCACTTCCCGGCAGCGGGGGGAGGCGGCGGAGGCGGCGAGGGCCGCCTCAGAGACCCCAAGGGTTCCCCGTCCTGCCGGATCCACACCGCCCCTTCGCCGCCCAAGCAGAAGCACGCCAAGGAGCCGGGGGCCAGCGGCGGGGCAGGCTCGGAGGAAGACGCCGTGCCCTCCCGCTGCGTCTATTGCCGGGACGTCTTTAACCACGAGGAGAACGGGCGGGGCCAGTGCCAGGATGCGCCGGACCCCATCGGGCGCTGCGTCTACCAGCTCACCTGCATGTGGTGTGCCGAGAGCATGCTCTACCACTGCATGTCGGACTCGGAGGGCGAGTACTCGGACCCTTGCTCCTGTGACCTGGGACACCCGCACTTCTGCGTCCGCTGGATGGCGCTGGTGGCTCTCTCCCTCGTCGTGCCTTGCATGTGCTGCTACCTGCCGCTCCGCGCCTGCCACTGGTGCGGGGAGCACTGCGGCTGCTGTGGTGGGAAACACAAGGCCGTGCGGTGAAGCCGGCCGGCGTGCGGCGCTCTTCTTGGCTTGGCTGGGGGGGAAGAGAGGCGAGGAGATGGAGGCAGAGTCTTAAGCGGCGGCAGGGGGGCTGATTTCCCCCTTCTCTTGCACGCCCCAGCCCCCGTGTCCCATGTTTGGAGGGGGAGGAGCTAGGCGGTTTTATTCCGAGTGTCGGGCGTGGCTGGTGAGTTTCATTATTTTTTTTTTTCCTTTAAAATTTCAACATTTTGGGTCCTTTTTTATAAAAAAAAAATAAAGAAATGAAAGAAAAAGAAAACAAATAAAATGAATGAACGACAGTCTCAGGAGAGATAGGTAGATGGTCTTGGGGGGGGGAGTTTTGCCCTCTCCCTTCCTCCTAGCTAAGGGGTGGTGGGGCCACAAAGAAAATTTAACCCCTCCTTCACCCAATCCAGCTGTGTCCACACACCTGTTTGTGTGTGTGTGTCGGGGGGGGGACGGGACCCAATAGACTATGTAACCCCCTCCTTCCTTTACCCAGCCTGGCTGAGTCACGAGGATTTCTTTTCAATTTTAAAAAAGGAATACAAAGAACAACAGAAGGAAAGAAAATATCGTAAATGGATACGCGTTGGATTTTTATTTTGTACTCAGGAGGGAGTCCAGGGAGCAAGAGAAACTAATTTGTGCTGAAAATGTCCATATTTAAAAACCAAAAAAAACCACCCTTCCCTGCTGTATTATATAGTAAACTGCATGGGGAGAAGTTTGTTAACTTGTGGAACTGCCCGCAACATGATTTTTCCACCTTAGCACGGTCCGAGATCCTGCAGCTTTATAACTGCACAATACTGGGGTGTCCTTTTAACAAGGACGACAGGCAGACAGGGTTCGATTTACAGGGTACACAAGCTGCAGCATCCCTCCAATTTTTGTCCCCCATGCTCACCCCCAAATACAGTTCCCGTGGTTTATTTCTGGGTCCCAGGCTGAACAATGGGGCACCCCTTGAAGTGTTCGGCGGGCTACAATTTCCAGGGAAGTTAGGGAAGGGTTTTCTGCAGCTCCCCATGTGACACCCCCTTCCCCGGTCATGTCTGGCACCGATGGCAGGGCAGAGTATACCTAGATCATAGCTTCTTAAGCCCAGGGTCGCGCCTGGCCTCCCGGTCATTGGGGCAGGACGGGAAGGGGAGTCAGATTCTGAAACTGTTATTTACAAGCTGTTGTAACGTGGGGTCGTGGTGCTGGCCCAGGTCCAAAGCAAATGGGAGCCGTGCGGCCACTGCTCGCTCTCTCTTTGTACTAAACCCATTTGGGATGTCTTAGCTTATTACTGCCTAGAGTTCGGGGTGGAAGAAGTACTGGACTTGGGAGTCAAGACTCCTGGGTTCTCTTACCCTCTCTCCGATTTGGGATGATCTAGTGGGTTAGAGCAGGGGGGCTGGAAGCCAGGACTCCTGGGTTCTAGTCCCAGTTCTGATAGTGGGGAGGGGGGGGCAGGATGATCTAGTGGATTAGATCTGTGGGACTGGGAGTCTGGACTCCTGCATTCTCTTCTCTGTGTTGGGTGGGAAGTGGGGTCTAGTGGTTAGAGCAAAGGACTGGGAGTCAGGACTCCTGGGTTCTGTTCCCAGCTCTGCAACTGTCTTGCTGTATAACCTTGGGCAGGTCACTTAATCCTGATGTCCCTCTAGTCTCCTACCATTCCTCCACCTCCCTGTTTGCGCTGCCTAGCAGTGAAGTATCATTATCAAGCCTCCCTGAGGGACGGGACAGGAGCCCTCTTGAGACATTTAAGACTAGGCCATGCAAAGCCACAGGGTGTGGTCTCCAGGGGCTGACCCTGCCCCCCCCAGTGAGTGTGGAATAGAGGGGCCGATCTCTCCAAATCCAGTGGGGGTGAAGCAGAGCTGCCCGAAAGTACTTTGATCTCTGGCCCGGGGCCCCACAAGCAGCCGGAGGGGAGGGGAAAGCAAAGAAAATCCAGGACCAGAAACCAGTAGGACCCTCGGAGTCTTACCCCAGCTGCCTGAATCATTCCCCCCCCTCCCCACCCCATGCTGGCTGTTCAGGGCCCCCTGTGTAACACGAGTTTGATGGAGCTCAGCCCACCTCCCACCGGGACGAGGCATCAGCCTTCCCACTGGGCACAACAGGCCCCACCTGCCGCCCCTTGCTGCCAGGCGTGAAATAAAGCCAGGGACCTCTGGCCAAGGGAAGTTCCTGGGCAGGTTTTTTTTAAAGCAGCTGCATCCGGCTGACTCTGGGGTTGTGGGAGGGGCTTGCAACAAGCCCCACCTCTTATTTATTGACTTTTCTCATTTTCCCCTAAGTCGGACAACTGATGTAAGTCAGGAGTATCTGGATCAATGGCATTGCCCCAGTGTAAATCCGGAGTGATTCCATTTAGATCAGTGGCGCTACGGGGGTATAAACGAGGGATAACTCTGGATCAGTGGTGTTACACTGGAGTAAATCTGGAGTAACCACAGAAAGGCAGCAAATTGAGGCTGGACTCTTTCTAAGGGAATGGGGTGCCTGATACAATGAGAGCCTGGCACCTAAATCCCTTCAGCTCCTTTGAAAATTCCCAGCCTTAAAACCAATACATGGACGTATTTCTTTTACCTACTGCACAGTGAGCCTGGGGAACTCAATGCCACAAGTTCTCTGAGGCCAAAGTTTAACATCCTTCCAAAAAACGACTGGATGTTTATACAGATAACTACACCCAGAATTAGAATATTAAATATCTTTACAATAACCAAGCGTTTTGGCAGGGCTATAAAATCTCATGCTATAGGGCATGACCCAACCTCTGACGATCAGAGGTCAGGCAGGAACTGACCCTAGGGGCCAGCTATGCCATAATTCCTGTAGGGGGCACCGCTTTCTGAATTAGCTATTTATTGGCCTCTATCGGAGACAAGAGAATGAACTAGAAAGACGCTTGGTTTGACCTGACTGTCCATGTGAACCCAATAGAGTGACCCTAGTTTTACCCCAATGTAAACAAGATGAGGGCTTGGCCTGGCAGGATTTGAGAGTGTTCAATAGCACACTGGGTCCTATTCCCATTTCTCCATCCGTGTTCTTTTTTTCAAAAGCTTCCCAAAAAACGAAACAAGACAAATCGTAACTGTATAAAACCTGGCAAAGCTGTGCGTGCCAATGACCCCATGATAACCTTGGGGCCGATACAGCAGGGAGCCTACCGAAATACAGAAGGGTGTATATTACTGCTGGAACGAGATTCTTTTAATGCTATTTTATATATAAAAAAGTGCGGAGGGGGGCAGAGAGAGAAAAACCCAACCAAACAAAGAAAAAAAGTTAATATTAAAATAATAATTTTTTTGTGGTTGCCAATCTAACTTCTTTTTCCTTGTTTAAGTATTTTATCAGATTTGTATATTCAATATTGTAATTTCTGTGTATTTAAAAAAAATTAAAAAGGGGGGAATGGAATCAGAGAAGAATGTTCTATTTAAAAGTGTATGTTGTATATTAAATCTTAGCAAAAGTGACTCTTAAATGTTTTCCCCTCCTTCTGGGGTGGGGTTTGGAGGTGCTGGTTCGAGCGGCCTAGATTTATAGGGCCAGAAAGGGATCGTTCTGATCAGCTAGAGCCAGATTCAAGAGACACAAATAGTTTTCAGACACTGAAATGTCTGAGTCACACACAGCCCAAAGTGTCAAATGTTTCATTGCAGCACCAACAGGAGATAAGATGTTTCAAGCAAGGCTAAGTTGCAGCTGCTCTTAATGATTTTAAAACTAGAGTAAAATAAAAATAATGGACTATTTCTGCTATTGGTATATAGCATGATTATATCGATTAGGACACATCAGCAGGAGATAGCATATTATGACAAAGGCCCTTTGTTTTCAGGTTTTATTCTGTTTAAAATTTCCTGGGAATTTATAGGTGTTTATGACAGAAATTAAACGGTGCAAAAAATTAACTTCACAATTTTCTGGGTAAATATCGGAGTGAATAGGGGGATGGAGGACGGAAAAAAAGCAACAACTAGAGAAGCGTATTGAAAGTGAAAGCAGTTTAATACCGTGGTTTATTTCATGAACTGTACATTAACAGTAAATACATATATGCATGTGTGTGTATCTTCCACTCCACCGCCTTACTTAGACAGACAGCCTTGCATGTCCACTTCAACTAATTGGTTTTTAACATCAATACATCTACCTGATGTAATGGGTTGGATTTGCTTAACGTAATCAGTATTTTCATGTGCTTGAGCGGTCTAAACTTTGGGTGAAAAATCAGTAAAAACTGCATAATAGCTTTTGTAAAAGCTGGGGATTTGTTGGTTAAAAACCAAAAACGAAGGGCCTTAATTATGATATATTGTAATAATAAAAATAATCTTGAAATGGAAAAGAACATTTCAAAATGAAATTGAAAGGGGCCAAATGAAAATTCCCAGACTGTTTTTTCTTGTTTGTTTCCCAGAGCTCTGTGAAAATGTTTGTTTTTCTAACTGGGAATGAAACCAAATGTGAAATGTCAACATTTCCCACCAAATGGAAATTCAGAGTTCCAGTCAGTTCTACTTTATACCTATAGCAACTTCCTCTCTACGCAGTGGGTAGAGCAGTGGACACCAGGAGACTTGGGCTCTGTTCCCAAGTCTGCAGCTGGCCTGCCGGGTAGCCTTGGGAAAGCCACTTGCCTCATTGTGCCTCAGTTTCCCTCTCTATAAAATGGGGATAATGGTACTGCCCTCTTTTTGTAAAGTGCTTTGAGATCTCCAGATGAAAAGAGCTAGAGGGTAGCAGGGAGAAGGAATCCAGGGGCTTGACCGCTGTGGCCAAAGAGCTGGGGCAACGCTTTGCCAACACTGCTGCTACATGGTGTTTTTCCTCAAGTCCCCGCTCCTGGAGTCACGACACTCTCCTGAAATACTGGCTTTCGTTTTAACAGGAAGACCTTTCCAGGCCTGGTGGTGGTGAGAAGAAGCTGCAATCCATGGCCCAAATGAGCCCCTACTGGATTGGAAAGCAGACAGCCCAAAGTGCAATAAAACAACCCAAAAACGAGGGGGGGGGAAAGGGTATTTGGGTTTTTAAAAAAAAAACTCCCGATTGGCTTGGGGGGAAAAAAAACAAACCTCCGGCTGTCAGGACCCGGCTTGTAGGTTGCGAGCCCCTGGTGCTGGCCCCGGTGCGGTTTCACCGGCATGACAGGTAGGTTGCTGCCCCTGGCAAAGGGGCCCAGCCTGTGGTGATGGTAGACGCTGCGGGGAGGTGGAAGAGGCTCTCGGCTTGGCCCCGAGGCCGGCGGTGGAGGAAGGAAAGACTCTGGTTGAGAGGTAGGTTCTATGGGAAGAGGAGGCTCTGATTGGCTGGGAGGCAGGTTATAGGGGAAGAGGAGGCTCTGATTGGCTGGGAGGCGGGTTATATGGGAAGAGGGGTCTCTAATTGGCTGGGAGGCTGGTTATATGGGGGACAGAGGCTCTGATTGGCTGGGAGGCGGGTTATAGGGGAAGAGGAGGCCCTGATTGGCTGGGAGGCAGGTTCTATGGGAAGAGGGGGCTCTAATTGGCTGGGAGGCGGGTTAAATGGGGGAAAGAGGCTCTGATTGGCTGGGAGGCAGGTTCTATGGAAGAGGGGGCTCTAATTGGCTGGGCAATGGGTGACAGTGGCGGGGAGGCTGTGGTTTGCTGAGTGGTGGGAGATTGGCTGGGGGGGCGGGGGAATAGCGAAAAGGGAGGCTCTCATTGGCTGGGGGGGCGGGGGATAGCGAAAAGGGAGGCTTTCATTGGCTGGGGGGTGGGGAATAGCGAAAGGGGAGGCTCTCATTGGTTAGGAGGCGTTATTCTAGCTTCAGCCAATCAGCTTCTTAGCCTCCCGAGCCCCGCCCATTCCGTCCCCTAAGCCAATCGGGGTTCAGAGCGGGCGGGGCCCGTGCGTGGCTGGTCTGCGCCCTGCTGGGGACTTTGAACTTGGGGCCTGAGCCGGGCGGGGCCGGGCCATGGAGCGCAGGGCGGCCGGGTAGGGGGGCACGGGAGCGGGGCAGCAGTAGCGGAGGCTGTGGGAGCAGGGGGTGTGGGGGGTACATAGTTGGGGGGATGTGGGAACAGGGGGCTGGGTTCTGGGGGCTGGGAAGCAGTGGGTGTGGGAAGTGCAGAGGCTCTGGGGGTGCAGGGGGCAGGGAAGCTGTGGGAGTGGGGGGTGCAGAGGCTCGGGGGGTGCGTGGGAGGAAGGAAGGGGAAGGGAAGCTGTGGGTGTCGGGGGTGCAGAGGCTCTGGGGGTGTGTGGGAGCAGGGGGCAGGGAAGCAGTGGATGTGGGGGGTGCAGAGGCTCACGGGGTGCAAGGGGCAGGGAAGCAGGGGGTGCAGAGGTTCTGGGAGTGCGTGGGAGGAGGGGGAAGGGAAGCTGTGGGTGGTGCAGAGGTTCTGGAGGGGGTGGGAGCAGGGAAGCAGTGGGTGTGGGGGGTGCAGAGGCTCTGGGGGTGCGTGGGAGGAAGGAATGGGTGCCAAGTCTCTGGGGTGCTGGGGGGATGGATGGTGGGGAGCAGGGAAAGCAAAATGTTCCAGGATGAACAGGGAGGTGGGTGCAGTGGGGGGAATAGGTGCAACTTTGGGGAAGAGTTGGGGGGTGGGGGGGCCTGGCACACTGGCAGGGGGAGCTGTTGGCCAGATCCGGGCTGGGCTGCCAGGTCTGTGGGGGAGGCTGTGGCGCACTGACCCCTGCCCCGTGTGCCCAGGTCCCTGGGGCTGCTCTCCGAGGAGAACTTTCTGCGCCTGGCCGAGGCCGGGGTGCAGAGCCCCGAGTTCACCGCGCTCTGCGCCCAGCTGGTGGCGGAGCTCCGAGCCCTCTGCCCCCTGGAGGAGGACGTCAGTCCCACCAGCGGTGAGTTACCCGCAGGGAAATGAGAAGGGAGGGGACTGACTGGTCGGGGATGGGGAGTGGGACACGGGAGCTTTCCTCCATGGGCCCTGGTGATGCTGTGATACAGGTAACATGCCTAACACCAACCCCGGAGTGACAGGGGAGCTCCACTCCCAGCCGGGTCCTCTGGGTTCGTTATCACTCAATAATTAATCATACCGGCAGCGTAATTACTCCCTGGGGAGGAAGTGTAGCCCAGTGGTCAGAGACCTGGGATTGGTTCACCACCCTGCCACAGACTCCCTGTGTGACCTTGGCCAAGTCACCTAGTCTCTATGTGCCTCGGTTTCCCCATCTGTGCAATAGGGATAATAGCTCTGCCCTGCCCCCTAGCAGGGTTGTGAGAATACATATACTGTGGGGTGCTCAGATGCTATGCTTATGGGGGTCACAGATCTGCCAGAGAGAGAGAGAGAGAGAGAGGAGTCAACCTGCGGAACTGGCTGCAGCAGGATGTCATGGAGGCAGATATGCCCCAGTTAGTGATCCAACAATTTATTACAAGAGTAATCCCATTCTCTCTTTTCTCCCCCCCCCATCCCCCAAGCCAGCCAGTCACCTGCCCTGGGGCTGGATGGGAGCCAGCGCCCCCTAGGGGAAAGGCCCTATGCCCCATTCCCCACCCCCTGCCCTGGGGCGTTCCCTCCCGAGGAGGCCAGGGTTATGAACATAAGAATGGCTGTACTGGGTCAGACCAAAGGTCCATCTAGCCCAGTATCCTGTCTGCTGACAGTGGCCAATGCCAGGTGCCCCAGAGGGAGTGAACCTAACAGGCAATGATCAAGTGATCTCTCTCCTGCCATCCATCTCCACCCTCTGACAAACAGAGGCTAGGGACACCATTCCTTACCCATCCTGGCTAATACCATTAATGGACTTAACCTCCATGAATTTATCTAGTTCTCTTTTAAACGCTGTTATAGTCCTAGCCTTCACAACCTCCTCGGGCAAGGAGTTCCACAGGTTGACTGTGCACTCTGTGAAGAACTTCCTTTTATTTTATTTGTTTTAAACCTGCTGCCCATTAATTTCATTTGATGGCCCCTAATTCTTACATTATGAGAACAAGTAAATAACTTTTTCTTATTCACTTTCTCCACACCACTCATGATTTTATAGATCTCTATCATATCCCCCCCCCTTAGTCTCCTCTTTTCCAAGTTTATTAATCTCTCCTCATATGGGACCCTTCCAAACCGCAAATCATTTTAGTTGTCCTTCTCTGAATCTTTTCTAGTGCCAGTATATCTTTTTTGAGATGAGACCACATCTGTACACAGTATTCGAGATGTGGGCCTACCATGGATTTATAGAAGGGCAATAAGATATTCTCCATCTTATTCTCTATCCCTTTTTTAATGATTCCTAACATCCTGTTTGCTTTTTTGACCGCCGCTGCACACTGCATGGACGTCTTTAGAGAACTATCCACAATGACTCCAAGATCTCTTTCCTGATTAGTTGTAGCTAAATTAGCCCCCATCATATTGTATGTATAGTTGGGATTATTTTTTCCAATGTGCATTACTTTACATTTATCCACATTAAATTTCATTTGCCATTTTGTTGCCCAATCACTTAGTTTTGTGAGATCTTTCTGAAGTTCGTCAGTCTGCTTTGGTCTTAACTATCTTGAGCAGTTTAGTATTATCTGCAAACTTTGCCACCGCACTGTTTACCCCTTTCTCCAGATCATTTATGAATAAATAGACTAGGATCGGTCCTAGGACTGACCCTCGGGGAACACCACTAGTTACCCCTCTCCAGTCTGAAAATTTACCATTTATTCCTACACTTTGTTCCCTGTTTTTTAACCAGTTCTCAATCCATGAAAGGACCTTCCCTCTTATCCATGACAACTTAATTTACGTAAGAGCCTTTGGTGAGGGACCTTTTCAAAGGCTTTCTGGAAATCTAAGTACACTATGTCCACTGGATCCCCCTTGGCCACATGTTTGTTGACCCCTTCAAAGAACTCTAATAGATTAGTAAGACATGTTTTCCCTTTCCAGAAACCATGTTGACTATTGCCTAACAATTTATGTTCTTCTATGTGTCTGACAATTTTATTCTTTACTATTATTTTGACTAATTTGCCTGGTCCTGACGTTGGATTTACCAGTCTGTAATTGCCGGGATCACCTCCAGGGCCCTTTTTAAATATTGGCGTTACATTCGCTATCTTCCAGTCCGTGGGTACAGAAGCTGATTTAAAGGACAGGTTAAAAACCCTAGTTGATAGTCCTTTCAGAACTCTTGGGTGAATGCCATCCGGTCCCGGTGACTTGTTACTGTTAAGTTTATCAATTAATTACAAAACCTCCTCAAAGGACACTTCAATCTGTGACAATTCCTCAGATTTGTCACCTACAAAGGACGGCTCCAGGACTCCAAAGGTGGCTCCAGGAGTGGGGTGTTGGCTGGGCAGGGGGGCAGCGTGTCGGGGCCCAGGGATTCATCGGTCTCTCCTGTTCCGGTGCAGGCCCCGAAGATGCCGAGACCTTCCAGATTGAGTTGAGCGGGCTGCTGCAGGAGCTGCACTGCCCCTACGCCGCGCTCACCACGGGGGACGTGACCGCCCGCCTGGGCAGCGCCCACCTCTGCCTCCAGCTGCTGTGTAGGTGACGGCGGGAAAGGCCCTCGCTACTCAGACGGAGCAGCCTGTGGGGCCTCTGAACGGCAGGGCTGGGAGCCAGGACTCCTGGGTCCTATTCCCAACTCTCCCAGAGGAATGGGGTCTAGTGGTTGGAGGAGAGGGGGTAGCTAGGACTCCTGGGTCCTATTCCCGATTCTCCCAGGGGAGTGGAGTCGGGGGAGGGGGGATCCAGGACTCCTGGGTTCTATCCCAGCTCTGGGAGGGGAGTGGAGAGGAGAATAGAACGCAGGAGTCCGGACCAGATAAAGATCCCGTCTCCAGAGGGCTGGCCCATGTCTGACACAGAGCCAGTGTCTCTCTCACCCCATGTTCTCTCCCAAGACTTCCTGAGCTCGGAGCTGCAGGCCGCCCGGCTCCTGAGCCGGAAACGCCCCCCTTCGCCGCGGCAGGGAGCAGGGGCCGGCACTGCCCAGCAGGAGCTGCTGCTCATCAACCAGGTGCTGGGCAGGCCGGAGCCGGCCCCGACCTGCCCCATCCCCCAGCTCCTGGAGGACATAAAATCCAAGGTGAGGAGTCAGAGACGCCAATTGTCGGGGGAGCTTCTGGGAGCCTGGGGCACGGGGCCGTTCCCCTCTAGGGGGCGCCAGCCCCAATCCAGCACCATGGCAGGGGACCGGCTGGCTCAGGGGGGCAGAGAATGGGGCCAGTGCCGGACAATGAATAAACAGGGCACCCCAGCTGCAGGCCGACAAGCCCCAGGTGGTGTCTCGGGCTGCTGGGCCCCCGTGGTGCGGGGAGCCGCCCGGCAGGCGTCGTCCTTCCCTAGCCACGGTGTCCGCGCCACGTCTCCCCGCTGAACTTGTGCTCTCCCTCCTAGGTAGCGGAGGCCCTGTCCGCGCTGCCCGCCGGCCACCAGGAGATGGCACCGCTGCTGAGGGCGCCGCTGACGGCTCGGCAGTGGGTACGAGGGGGGGGGGGGCAGGCCAGGTCGGGGGGGCGCAGCGCAGAACCTGTGGCTCTGTTCCTGGGTCAGGGCCGGGCCTGGGTCCCGGCCTGGGCTGCAGGGTTCAAAAGCAGCCAAAGAGAGTTAGGCCCCTGATTGAATTCCGGTGCCTGACCCATCCTGTTCCTGCCAGAGATTCCCGGTGCCGAACCACCCTGCACAGCCCCATTGCATAGAGCTCTTAACAGACCTGGGTTCGATCCCTGGCAGGGGAGTGGGGTCATGTGTGGGGTGGGGAGAGGGGCTGGGAGTCAGGATTCCTGGGTTCCCTGCCCCTGCCTCCCTCTTTGGCTTGGGACAGGTAGCACCCCTCCCCGTGCCTCAGTTTCTCCCTTTGAGGGGGCCAGTGCAGCGGGGCTGGGAGGGGGTGTGGCTTTCTGGCGGCCTGTGTCTGAGCGTCGCTCTCTATCCCTCCCGGCTAGGAGGCGCTGGAGGGGATCCGGCAAGCCCTATGTGCCGAGTACGAATGCCGCAAGCGCATGATGATCACGCGCTTCAACGTCACCCTGCAGTCCTTCCACTGGTCCGAGAGGGCGAAGGTGAGGGCTCGGGGGCTGGGGGAATTCCAGTGAGGGGAGAGGCCTGGATGGCGCCAAGGAATGGGACACGGGGCCTTTCCCCTCTAGGGGGCGCCGGCTCCAATCTGGGTCCAGGGTAAGGTTGCCAACTTTCTACTTCCACAAAACTGAACACCCCTGCCCCGCCCCTTCTCTGAGGCCCCGCCCCCGCTCACTCCATCCGCCTCCCTCCCTCATTTTCACCAGGCTGGCTCAAGGGATTGGGGTGTCGGAGGGGGAATGGGCTCTGGGCTGGGGGTGTGGGTTCCGGGGTGGGGCCAGAAATGAGGGATGTGGGGTGCAGAAGAGGGTTCCGGGCAGGGGGGTGGAGGGGGCTCCGGGCTGAGGCAGGGGGTTGGGGTGTGGGAGGAGGTATGGGCTCTGGCTGGGGGTGTGGGTTCTGGGGTGGCGCCAGAAATGAGGGGTTCAGGGTGCGGGAGGGGGCTCTGGGCTAGGGCAGGAGGTTGGGGTGTGGGAGGGGGTACAGGCTCTGGCTGGGGGTGCAGATTCTGGGGTGGGGCTGGGGATGAGGGGTTTGGGGTGCAGGAGGGGGCTCCAGACTGGGATTGAGGGGTTTGGTGGGTGGGAGGGGGATCAGGGCAGGGGGTTGGGGTTCGGGAGGGGGTTTGGGATGCAGGCTCCGGGTAGAGCTTACCTCATGCAGCTCCCAGAAGCAGCGGCACGTCCCCCCTCCGGCTCCTACGCGGAGGCGCGGCCAGGGGGCTCCGCACGCTGCCCCGTCTGCAGGTGCTGCCCCACAGCTCCCATTGGCCATGGTTCCCAGCCAATGGGAGCTGCAGAGCCGGCACTTGAGGCGGGGGCAGTGTGCAGAGTCCCCTGGCTGCCCCCGTGCGTAGGAGCCGGAGAGGGGACGTGCCGCTGCTTCTGGGAGCCACACAGAGCCCGGGCAGGCAGGCAGCCTGCCTTAGCCCCTCTGTGCCGCTGACCGGACTTTTAACGGCCTGGTCAGTGGTGCTGACCAGAGTTGCCAGGGTCCCTTTAAACCCAGTACCTGGCAACCCTACCCGAGGGCAGGGGCTGGCTGGGCGGGGCAGGGGATGGAACATGGGGCCTTTCCCCTCTAGGGGGCGCCGGCTCCTGTCTGGAGCTGCTGACGCTGAGGAGGGGCTGGGTCCCAGGGACCCTGGGCCGGGGCCGACGCCAGCTAACAGGGAGTGATTTTTCTGCCACAGGCCCAGGGCTCCGCGCTGCTGGCGGCCGTCTCCCCGCTGCGGCAGGCTGAGTTGGTGGCCTCCGGCGTCACCCTGGCCCGGCTGCTGGCCACCCGCGCGGACGCCTCGCGCATCGTCAGCACCAGCAGCGGGCGCTGCCGCCACCGGACCAGCTGTGCCATCAACAAGGTACGGGCAGCGCCCAGGCCAGGGGGGAGACGAACACGCTGCTGGGTCCGGCCACAAAGCCCCTCCCCCATGCAGAGCAGCCTGCGGAGTGGGGGGGGGGCTTCTCCTCCCCCCCCCCTTACTGCCGGGGCACGAGACCCCCTCCCCCTCCTCTTGCATCACACCAGGACCACAGATCCGGCAGGGCCGGGTGCTGGGCCCTTCCCACCCCCCGTTAGCTCCCTTTCGGGGTGGGCGGAGTACGGGGGACTGGGTGTCTCTCTTGCCTTTTTCCTCTGCTCCTGTTTTCCCCCCCCTCCCCCTGACAGGTGCTGATGGGCGGCGTCCCAGACCGAGGGGGCCGCCCCAATGAGATCGAGCCCCCCATGCCCACCTGGGAGAAGAGGCGCGAGGGGGGGGGAGGCCGACGGGGCAAGAAGAAGAAATGAAGCCTGCTCCGTCTCTGCCGGGAGCCCCCCCCCTACACTGCAGGGGGGGCAGGCAGAGCACCTGGGGGGCAGAGACTCAAGGCCTCAGAGCCCAACTATGCAGAGTGGGCGGTGGAGGGGAGCTGGGGCTCAGAGGGGCTGCGGCCCCCTACAGCCAGGGCAGGGCCGGCTCCAGGCACCAGCTGAGCAAGCAGGTGCTTGGGGCGGCCAAGGGGAAGGGGCGGCATGTCGGGCGATTCGGCGGAGGGTCCCTGTCCCTCTCGGAGGGAAGGACCTACCGCCGAATTGCTGCCAATCGCGGTCTTTTTTTTTTTTTGCCGCTTGGGGCGGCAAAAACCCTGGAGCCGGCCCTGAGCCAGGGGGTGATAGCAGCTACTGATCAGAGGTCAGGACGCCTGGGTTCTGGTCCCAGCTCTGGGAGGGGAGTGTGGGGGGGCTGGAGCCAGGTCTCCTGGGTTCTATCCCCAGTTCTGGGTGGGGGAGGGGGAGAGGAGTGGGGTCTGGTGGTTAGAGCAGGGGGCTGGGAGCCAGGACTCCTGGGTTCTGGGAAGGGAAGTGCATGGAGTGTACCATGTTGCACTTAACACATCCCCCAGCAGGGGGTGCTGCAGCTTTTGCTTTGGCAAGCGGAATTTGGAGCGGATTGTGTTAGAAGAGGCTGCGGGGAGGGGGCTCGGGGGCTGTGTGTGGCTTGTTGATTGTCCTTTGTAAACTGAGGCACGAGGCGGTTGCCTTGCTGGTGCGGAGGGGGAGGGTCCTGCCCTGGGGACCCCGGCAGGCTGCGTTCAGGGGCTCTGCAGGGGGCTGGCAGGTTGATCTATGTTGTAAATTTCAGGCTCTGGGCTCCATCCAGGGGTCGGTTTGTACCGTGATCGAAGGGCCCTTCCAAGGGCATTAAAGTGTCGAAGCCAAGGGCTGTCCAGCAGAAGCGCCGGTGGGCGGGGAGGGGGCTGGTAGTTGTCTGCAGCCGGGGAGCATGAGGCGGGTTTGGGTCAACCATAGAGGGGCCATGTGATATTCTCCTGGGCCCCGATCCTGCAGTGCTGCGCTCCCCTCCCCGGCCCGGGGCTCCCCTCCCCCCACAGCTCTGCTGATGCCCAGTCCTCGGAGGGGGCAGGTCTGTGGAGAGGGTGGGTCAGGGTGGAGGAGCTGGGCTGAAGCTCTGAGCTGGCCTCACCCCGGCCCCTAAGTGCAGGGGGGTGGGCCCCGGGCCCCGTTCACCTCTCCCCCCCGGCCGATGGGCAGTGACTCCATTGGCAGCAAGTGACCCGAACCCTGGCGTTCAGGGCTCTGAATTTCGGGGGGTTGTTTGGGGATCCCCCCGTCATGCCCGTTTGTTACCCTGGGCGATGCTGATGGACGCGCTCGCCCGTACCCCGCCCCCATCTCCATAATTATCTTCACAGCCTAACAAAGCCCAAAAGGGGAAACTGAGGCAAGGCCGGTGGCGGAGCGGTCGACAGGCGCCCCGCAACGCGGTGGCATGGAGCAGAGAGGGGGCAGCTGTGGGCCTAGCCCAGGCCCGGCTCGACAAAGATGCATTCCCTTTATTGGGGCCGTGCCCAGGTACAGTCCGGGATCCGTGGTGCCCAGCCTGGCTTGCTGGGGCCTGAGGGCGTGGGATGGCACCGCCGGCTTTGAGTCCCTTGGCGGTGCCGGGCAACGCGGGCACTCTGGGATCCGGAGGGGGCGGGCGAGCGGCGAGTCCAGCCGGGTTATGCCTTGGAGTCGCGCTGCAGGTGCAGGGAGTCCATCCCTTCCAGGAGCAGGGTGAGCGAAGCCTGGCCGTGCCCCCCCTCCTCCGCCTTGCCCCGGCGCCCCTCGGCCTCGCCCGTCAGCAGCCGCCCGTTCTCCGCCTCCAGCTGGGCGTTGCGGCAGTGGAGGCCGAGGTTCTCCAGCAGCAGCTGGTTCCGCTCCTGCAGTGGGGGGGAGCAGAGCCCCAGGGGGGTGAGTTGGGGGGCGAGAGCAGGGACCCCGCAGAGCTGTGCAAGGGAAGCCCCCAGCCAACTCCACCCGTGGGTGGCCCAGTTTGCATGCCCAGCCACTGGGGGGGGCAGGGGTGGTCTCCAACCCTCCTCCACCCCCCATTGTACCCCTGTTTTGGGGTCTCACCTTCTCCAGCTCCTGCAACTGCTCCAGGAGCTTCTGGTCCCTGCTGCAGCCGCCCGCCCCGCCGTGGGGCTCGTGGCCCTCCGCCGTGGGGCTGGTGCCGTCCGTCTGCGTCCAGGCGTCCCGGGTCCGCCGCCGGCTGGCTGGTACCCCCGCCAGCACCACTGCCTGCTCGCCCACCGGGGGAAAGGGGAAGGCCTCTTCCTCTGACCCTGCCATGGGGAGAGGGGGCCCTTTAAATGGGGCTGGCCACGAGCTGTGCCACTGCCTGGGGTGGGGGGAGATGTGGACAGCAATGGGGCGTTCCACTGACCCTGCCACGGGGGAGAACAGGTGGAGGGGGGGCCCTTTAAATGGCCATGGACTGTGCCACTGTCTGGAAGTCGGGGGGGGGGGTGACAGTACGGAGTGTTTCACTGAACCAGTAAAAGGGGGGGGGTTGCATGCTTGTGGCCATTTAAAATGGATCATGCCACGGGCCTGTCCACTGCCTTGGGGGGAAGAGGGGAGGCCCATGGCTTGTTCCACTGACCTGGTGAGGGCAGGGGGGATGGACTGTTCCATTGTTGGGAGGAGGTAGCATGAAGATCCCGCACCCCCTCCCCCCCTGCGGTACCTGAGCTGGGGTGCTGCGTGGCGGCCGGCGTGGCTGCACGGTGCGTGCCCCCCTCTGGGGCTCTGGCGTGGAACCTCTTCTTGCACTCCAGCTCCACCAGGTCCTTGCATTGTTTGTGGCAGCTCATGCCACAGTCTGGGGTGGGTGTGGGGGGGAAATGACATATGAGGTAAGCTGGGGGGCTTGGCATTACTCCCCCCCTTCTAGGGGGAACCCAGCCCTCCCACCCCCTGCAGTGCCAGGAGAATCCCTCTCCGGGGTGAGCAGTGCAGGGCTCAGGACACACATCTGTGCAGTTCTATCTCCAGCCAGCAGGGGGCAGCGCTCAGTAGGCGGACGGGCACGCACGCCCTGCCACGGGGGTTGCTTAGACCCATGGCCCTTTGCCCCTCCCTAGCCCTATCACCAATGTTCTCCCCACATATGTCGCCCCATCAGGGCTGCACTTACCCCGACATCTGTACCCCTGCTTGGAGACACCCCAGAGCTAGAGGAGAGAGAGAGCAGAGCCTGTTAGCTGCGGCCTTTTGGAGGGGGGGTTGCATTGTCCCTGTAGAGGGGGGAGGGGATTTTGCAATGGTGGGGGGATTGCTGGGATTTGGGGCACCCCTGTCCTGGCTGCTGGGGGTGCTGTGGGGCAGGGTCTCTGGCAGGCCTGGGATTTGGGGCACCCCATCCCGGCTGCCGGGGGCGCTGTGGGGCAGGGTTACTTACGAAGCCGTTGCAGCTGTGGCAGAAGGTGGGTTTCTTGAAGGTGGCCTCCTGGAAGTCGTGCAGGAAGCCGAGGCCCAGCTTGGAGAAGACGGCGCAGGCCCGCATGAAGTAGTCGGTGATCTCCTGACGGCTGTAGGGCCCCTCGCTGCCGGGACGGGAACAGGACAGTGAGGGGGCTGCCTCCGAAACGGGGGGTGATACTGACAAAGGGGCCTTGCGGGGGGAAACTGAGGCACAGAACCAGGGAGCGACAGAGCTGGGGATAGAACCCAGGCGTCCTGGCTCCCAGCCTCCCGCCGGCACACACTCACCGGTCTTTCCCCAGGCCGTAGAAGGAGAAGGGGAAACTGGCCACAATCTTTTCAAAGTCCTCAGGGGAGATGCAGCCGCGCTGGTCATGGTCGTAATTCTTAAATACAGACTGGGGGGGGAGGGGGGAGAAGCATTAACTAGCAGCAGCACAGCGTAAGTCTGCCCCTAGGCCTGCCCCCAATACCCACTGGGAGCCCCCCCTTGATCTAGGGTGACACCCCCTTCTGACCTGTCAGCCCGTCCGGGGGGGATACGGCTGGGGGGAATTGCTTTGAATCTCGGCATCAAATGGACAGATATCCCCCCCCTTTGCCTGCTGGGGGCAGGCCGAATCCTATATGGTCCCGAGTGCACCCCCTCCCCTGAGGCTGCAGGTGGCCGTGCCTGGTCCATATAAAGGGATAACAGCCTCATTGCTGCAGCCAGCCAGGGGAGCTGCTCCCCTGAAGGTCCCCGGTTTGAGTCCTGCCCCGTCCAGGCCGTGGGGTGGCATCGACTGCCTAGCCCCCTGCCCGGGGGCTGGGCCCTGGGAAGTGGTGGGGCTGGCTAGAGACAACTGATGCCTTTGCTCCTGCCCTGGGCAGGGAATGGGTGTGATGCACACCATGACATGCCCCCCGGCAACTGCACACTGCCACGCACACCCTGGCAACTGCACACCGTGATGCCCCCCGGCAACTGCACACCGTGACGCACACCCTGGCAACTGCACACCTGTCCACATGGCAAATGCACCCCACACCCAGCTGTGGCCTTGGCACAGGGCAGCTGCCCCCTGGCTGGCTTGGGGGCAGGTAGCTACTGGCCGTGTTACGCTGCCCGAGGCCCAGGGGGCTGTGCTGAGGGGCGGGGGCCTGGCTCACCTCCACCATCTGCTGGACGTGTTTGCTGATGGTGAACCGGTCCGGTTTGGGGGCCACGCCCGGCGCCCACTCCACCACCACGGGGGGCTTGAAGGGGGTGGCCGGCTGCGGGAGGGCAGAAGGAAGAGGGTCAGACACGAGTGCCTCGAACCAGGGAGAGGAGAGTTGGGGGGGTCCCAGTTCAGCTCCCCCCCATCTTACCAGGGACTTGGGGCAGCGGGGTTCCCGGGCGTACGAGAGCTCGTAGATTTCATCGTCCGTGTAGTACAGGTCGAGGGAGAGCTGGGGGGAGGGGTAGAGAATGGGGTTAGAGGGTCCCCCTGGGAATGACCTTCCCATACCTACTGGGGAGGGGGTCACGTGCTGGGCTGCGATCGCTGCCCCCTGCTGGCCAGGGGCCGAGCCATTTGCACGGGGTGCAGGCGTGCGATGGCACGGGGGTGGTAGTTGTGCAATTGCACCACTGTTCCCTGCTGGCAGGTCTGTGTGTGCCGCCACACTCAGCTCACTGGGCACAGTGTGTGTATGCGCATTTGCACCACCGCCCTGTTTGCACGGGCGGTGGTGGAAGCTGGCCGGTGCCCCAGTGCACCTGACCTGCTGCTCCCTGCAGGGCGGGGTGGGGGACGGGAAGATGGCTGGCAGGCTGGGCCGAGGGTGGGTGCAGGAGAGATCTGGGGCGTTCCCCCGAGTCCCACCCCCTCCTGACTCCCCTTGCGCCTGCACCCCCCTTGAACACCTGCCCTGCAGCATCTTGCACACCCACCCTCGCACGCTTCTGCCCATTGCACACCCAGCCCCAGCTGCTTGCACACTAAATCCTGGCCTGTCACACATCTCGCACCACCCTCCTCGCACACCCAGTCCCACCCACTTCCACACCTCACCCCCCAGTCTCCCGCACACCCAGCCACCCCCCACCCTGCACACCTGACCCTATCCTCTTGCACGAGCAACCCCGCTCTCTCGCACGCCTGCTTTGCTCACCGTGAGCAGGTGCACCAGGTCCTTGTTGGCGGCGAAGGGCGGCGTGGCCTGCTGCAGTGCCTGCAGCTCCTGCGCTTGCTGGTAGAGGCCCTGTAGCTTGCTGAGGTTCAGCTGCCCCCCCAGGCGGTCGGGCAGGGCCTCGTGCAGGGACACCAGGTCCTTGAGGTGCACCCCCACGATGGGGATCTTGAACCCGGTGCACTCGCTGTAGGCCCGCCGGTAGGCGCTGTAGTTGCAGCAGGAGGAGAGCAGCTCGGTCATCTCCGCCAGCGTCTGGGGGGCGGGGCGGGGCGGGGGAGAGGCCAGAGGGT